CCAAAATCTCTGTAAATGTTTATGAAAATTAATAAAATATAATTATAGGAAAAAAACAAAATGCTGGAAATAGAAATACCATTTGACCCAGCAATTCCACTACTGGGAATACATCCTAAAGAAACCAGAACTGCCACCCAAGCATACATATGCACACCCATGTTTATTGCTGCTTTGTTCATGATAGCAAAGAGTTGGAAGCAACCCAACTGCCCAACAACAAACAAATGGATAGAAAAGCTGTAGTATATTCACGCAATGGAATACTACGCAGCACTGAAAAACAAGGAACTCATAATCTATTATACAAAATGAGTGACCCTAGAGGACATTATGTTGAGTGAAATATCTCAGTCACAAAAGGACATTACTGCATACTGCCCCTGCTATAAAACAGGACTGACATGAGGGTTGGGAAAACTAAGAAAAGAGGGAATAAATACTGTACACTGCTTTGGAAACAGATGAGGGAAAGGACTATTTAAAAGGAATATATGATTAGGTATTACTTGCATGACAAGAGTTCAGAATAAGAGCTGGATAGTAAAGTGGACTGGTGGTGGGGAGTGTATAATAATGAAAGAATTATTTTTTTTCCAAAGAGAAAAGCGAACAGGGGTAGGGTGGTGGTGGAGGAAAATATGCAACAATGAATGAATGGAAATACAAGTTCTTTATAAACTGTCACTAAAATCTCAATTAAAAAAATAATATATTTGATACATTGGACTATGATGATTAAAGATTAGACAAAAGTAGGGTGGCATAGAGGATAAAGGACATCATACACAAAGGAAGCAAAAAGCCATTTCAAAACACAGGAAACAAAGACCAAAACAGAGGTCAGAAGAGACTCTGAAGCTTCCTCTGAGTCATAAAGAACTAAAGCAAAAGGAAGAAATGGAGAACTGAACAGAAGGTGTCAAAGGACAGCGGAGAAGACAAAGCATTGCAATTAAATGTGCAAAGACTCGGAGTTAGAAAAACAAAAGAACCAACTCAACATTTCTCAAGCAAAAGAACCAAAGACTGAGTTTTGAAAGAAGAAGATAGAATAAATACACAGAACCACTATATTAAAAATAATTGCTTAATATGCAACCAATTCAGGAGTCAGCATATAATCAGGAACCAATGGTCCTGAAGGAAGAAGTCGTGCCCCAGGACTGCTGTACTGAGAGCACTGGCAACAATAAGGTCCCAAGAAGTCACGGCATTTCTTGAGCTGCTGGATGCAGCTTTGGATGTGCTCACTTGTCAGTAACGAGCAATTTGGAAAATGACTGCTGGCCAATGGTTAGGTACACAAACAACTATATGTGCGCCCAATTTAAAAAAAAAAAAGTGAACCACCAATGCAGAAGAAGAAACCCTTGGAAACGTATTAAAGTTAAATTATAAGAAGCTTTGCTGGCGAGCTCTGGTGGCCTAGTGGCAAGAAGCTGCAACTGCAAGTTCAGAGGTGCACAGTTCAAATCCACCAGATGCTCTGCTCGAGAAGGAGGAACAATGTCCTCCTGTACCAGTCAGATCTGATTTGACGGTACACAAACACACACAAAAATAACGAAATAAAAAAAAAGAAGCTTTGCTGTCTTCCCAAAGGCTTGGGGTTCAAATCTACCAGCTTCTCTGCGGAGGAAGATGGGCGACATCCCACATGACTTATTGCCTCTGAAAACCCATTGGAGGGTTAGCTATGGGTCAGTTCTGACTTGACAGCACAAAACAACAACAATAACAGAATGTGGAAATTATCACACTATAGCAATGTGACCTTCAAATAAAATCTTGCTAAATATAATGAAAATTGGCTAGATCAGTTCATTGACAGAGAACTACGGGACATTCATGCTGGATTCAGAAGAGGACATGGCACAATGGGTAGATATCGTTGCTGGCATTAGCTGCATCTTGGAGGAAAGCAGTGAATACGGAAAGACGTTTACCTGTGTTATACTGACAATGCACCATGTGGATTATTATAAATTATGTATAACATTATGGGAAATGGGAATTCCAGAAGACTTAACCGTGTTCATGTGGATCCTTATACATAGACCAGGAAGCAGGTGTTTGAATAGAACAAAGGGATTCTGCAAGGTTTAAAATTAGGAAAGGTGTGCACTAAGGTTGTTTCATTTTACCAGACCTTACTCAAGTGACTGCAGCAATGGGCTTATGGGTATAGGAGATTTTTGCGTACGATACAGGATAGGACAAGGTTCAGATATGTTGTTCATAGGGTCACTAGGAGTCATCCTTGACTTGATGGCACCTAACAACAACAATTCGGTTTATATGATGAGTAAATAATCTGAGAAGGTGGACTATACGAAGAAGCATGTGGCACTAGAATTGGAGGAGGACTCATCAACAAATTGCAGTATAAAAACCAAACAAAATTGCAATATGCAGATGATACATTCTTGCATGTCAACAATATTGTTGTTGTTGTTATGTGCCATCCAGTCGCCTGCTTGGGGGAAGGTACCTTTTCTCACAGACGGTGCCCCAGATCCTTCTGCTGGCCAGGGAGAGCCACTCAATCCGCCTCTCATACATCCGCATGGCTCTGTTGAGCTGTTTCTGAAAACCAGGGGCCATACACAGTGAATGACCGCTCATAGAGGGCCCATGAAGGAGTCAGTGGGGCAAGCGTATGGACCCAAATAGAATAACGTGTGTTCAATAACGTGTGTTATGATCACGTGTACTCAGGTAAGATAAACAACACTCTATTAAATCATGGGAGAGTCTGCCATAAGACCAGGAAGAGAGGAGTCAAGGATTCCCATTGTCTCAAATAGGTTGGAGGAAAATATTTCCCCTAAATTTGAAAGATATTTGAGGCAACCTGTTCCTTGTCTAGGGAAGGAGGGTGTATTGAGAGGTCGCAGTAGGGAGAGTACACCAGTTCTGTTTACAAGAGAGAGTTCAATCATGGCTTGGTATCTCTACATCCTATGAGGTCTTCTTCTCATACCAGCCCTTACACCCTTATACTGACTGACTGACTGAGTCCATCACTGACCTGGTACTCAAAGAGGAAGGGTGGATCCACGTGGATATTCTTCACTGTCCCATCATGCCACTCAAATTGTACCATTGCCTTCTGTGCTCCAACATGGGCAAAAAGGGTGGGGACATGAGCGGAAACAGAGGAGGGGAAAAAATGATAAATTTAACTTGGACGTTGGATCCCTGACTCATGCATGAGAGGGAAATGGACTGAAAACACATCTGGAATCAGATCCTCCCTACCCAAATTGTTACCCTGTCTGTGGCTAGCAACATGGGGCCTTCAGGAGACTGGCCCCCTGAATGAATAACGCTGACACCAAGCCAGGTTGCCCTTTCAGGAGACTCTCTAGAACAGGTCCTACTTCTAAGATACACTTGATAATAGGCAGCAATGCTCAAGGTCTGGAGATATATTAGTCGTGTGTTCTCAGATTAGAGAACCTTGCCAGGCCTTCATGAGCACTTTGAAATGCAAATTGTTCACTCTGTCCTTTCATCTTCCACCAAACCATCAAGTCCATGTCTCCAAATACTCCATCCATCCATCCATCCATCCATCCATCCATCCATAGTGAGAACTCATCCATCGCTCACTTCATCTCTGTCTTCTCATTCTTCCATCTCTCTACAGTTCTTTACATTCACCGATTACTGCATTGCTCTCATCTATTTCATTTCTCCTTCCATAATCCCATCTATTCTCATGTTTATCCACCTATCCACCATGTGCCTACTTTTCATTCATTCATTCATTCATTCATCAGTATTCCCCTTCGTGTTCCCATCCTTCTTTGCACTCTTCTTTTTTTCCTCCTTTCTTGTATCTACTCATCATCTCATCCACCACTAAACCTTTACTGAATGCCTGACTGCCAATGAACAATTGTCAGTTATTGAAGCTACATAGTTGGAAAAGAGATTCTCTTAAAGGGTTCAAACTGAAGTGAGGATTCAAATATATAGAAATACATGTGTATTAATAAATTATAGGAGCTTTAGAGCCTAGCCTGAGGACTCAAGAGAGTATGAGTTGTCACTGTTGTTGTTATGTGCCGTAGAGTTGCCTGCAACTCATAGCAACCCTATGTACAATAGCTCTGAACCCTGCTCTATCCTGAGCCAATGTCACTGTTTCCAACACACCTACAACTCAACTACCACACTCACTGAGTCAATCCATCTCATCAAGGGTCTTTTCCTGCGCTGTCCCTACACTTTCCCAAGCATAATGCCCCTCTCCAAGGACTGGTCCCTCCTTGCAACATGTCCAAAGTATGTCAGACAGAGCTTCAGAATCTTTGCCTCTAAGGAGCAGCTTGATTTCATCCTCTCCAGGCTGAAGCTGTTTATTCTCTTAACCGTTTGCGTTCTGAGTATGTTGGAGAAAACCTTCATGAAGAAAGTGAACACGGTACCCAATTAGTCCCCTCTTCTCTCATCTTTTAAGCAGCCTTTTCAGATCTTTGAAAACAGTGCTTCAGTAGCTATAATGAGTGTTCTAGAATTCTAGCACAGCCTGCACCCCACTTCAGATATTCATACCACATTCTTGAGCTCCACCCTTGAACTCTTACTATCTGAATATTTAAGGTGACGAGAAAGTCTACAAAGAAACTACGCTGTAGAGGGTTGGCGAGAACATGATGTCCTCTTTGGAATACCTCGTGAATGGTCGACGACACCGTTTTCCGGAGAATAGGCACATATTCCTCGATGGGAGAAAACGTGTAGGGGGCCAGAACCTGATAAAGGCTTAACTTCTTGGCTGTGGAAATAGCAGGGTGTGAGAAGCTCCTCACACGGCCCCCAAAAGGCTCATGCTAGTTAGTCATTTGTGGCCAGGGCTCTGTCATCTTTGGGGGTTTACCTTTTAGGCCGTTGATCTTTAGCCATTCTGCAGAGGTCTTATCCAAGCCTGGGAACTCGATTCTGAGGGGCCCCTCGTGTTTTGGGGGTTTAGGCAGGCGACTTGTGAGCGGGCCTTTTGCAATCTTGGTGGAAATCTGTATGAAATCAAACCTCTCATAGTTAGATTTTAAAGCCGGAAAGCACTCAACCTTGCCTGGTCTTCCTGTCCTTGGCGCAGGTGCACTCGTGTGCGCGCACGCCCCCAACACACACACACACACACACACACACACAC